GAGATCGTCCAGGGCCCATCTGTCATCTCAGATCTGCCACATGTCACAACAAACCGATGGAACCAAACCTTTGACGGCATCAGATTCTGCCGACCACAGCTGAGATGCAAGATGCAATTTAGCGACGGCACAAACTTTGATGAGGGAGGTGCAGCAGGAGTCATGCAGCTGGGACAGGGGTTGGTGGTTGTGCAACCCGCCTCACGACGGTGCACGATTGAGATTGAGCTGCAAACCTCACTCACACAGTTGTACTTTTCCCGACCCTTCCGACTACCCTTCTGGCGCCACACGATAATCGGCGAGCGACGCGACACCACCCAAGCAGCGTGTTGTTGCACGGAAGACAGAACCGCGATCTCTGGACCTTGCCTATTCGGTGAGGCTTGCGGCTAGCCCCCGTCGACTCGAGCAAGATCATACGACTTGTCGAACCACCCCAACACCCATCGACACGCGCAAACAATCACAGCCCCGGCCCCGTAGCACAATTCCTGCAGGCCATTCCAGTAGCTGCGTGGCCCATACGCTTCGCGGTAGTGCAGCAAATCCCGGCGCACACTGAGGCAGAGGCAGCCTGTCCGATCTGCCGCCCGCAGTCGCGTCGTGAGCCTGCGAAGGAGTGGCATGATTTCCATGTGCATGTAGTAGCTGGTAAGGCGGAGCCCTCTCTTTCTTTACCAGACCCGTACTCTGTATACACTGTCCCTCTTGTTCGCCGTCGGTCGCCGTTGTCGTCGTCGTCGCTCTTGTCACAGCTAGCAGCCCGACGCCGTCCCCATGGCTTCTGACCCGTACGGCAGCCCCGACGATGGGCTGGAGCTGGAGCGAATCGCCGTGCGTGACGCAATGCTTTTGCATGTCTCGAGTCTCTGCTAACATGGCCTTGCACCATCCAGGTCGGCCCCTACTGTGTGTTTGACGACTTCCGCCTGCCTCCAAGTCCCCCGCCCATTCACCCGTCGGCTCCCGAGGCCAAGCGACCCACGCCCAAGATGGAGGATCCCATGCTGTCGAGCGACTTCCCCTTCGCCAACATGCGCGGTCCGTGGCTCACCACCGCCGGCGACGACATGCCCCTCACCGCGCCCGCTGACGACATGGCCAACTGGAACGAGTGGATGCAGTACGATCCCGCGCAAGCGTCTCAGAATTCCCAGAACGTCGACCCCAAGCCCGCGAATCCGCAGGGGCCTGCCGCATATCTCAGCCCGGATCAGCAAACTTCGCCGCCCCATCTTCTCCCTCACCAACAATCCCAATCGCTGCAGTCCAACAGCGTACCGACTACCGCCCCCATGTTCGCGCAATCGCATGGCGTCCCCTTCACCTTTGGCCAGAGCGCTGACATGCCGCCGGCCTTTGACTTCAACAGCGCTGATCTGAGCTCTCCACTGACGGCGGAGATGCAGCAGCAGCACGCCTACTACACGTCCCAGCAATGGCAGCAGCAGCAACAGCAGCTGGCTGAAAACACTCTCTTCTCCCCCACGCAGTTCGACCAAACTGGCTTTGTCGCACCGCCCGCCTCCACGCCCAGCCTCCACCACAGTCCCACCTCGCTGACCAACGGACGAGCCAGCTCGACCTCGTCGCATTCGTCACCAGAGCCTGCCACGAACAACGCACGCAAGAGGAAGTCATTGGCCGACTCGGAGGAGCTCGATGACGATGCCCCGTCAAACAAGAAGGGAGGCCCGCCCAAGAAGACCGCTCACAACATGATCGAGAAGCGATATCGGACGAACCTTAACGACAAGATTGCTGCTCTTCGCGATAGTAAGTCATTCCCCAATGCGCAATTGACATTAGCTGATTGGTGTTAAAGGTGTCCCGAGTCTTCGCGTCATGTCGCGGCCGAACGGTACGGAAGAAGACGACGACCCTGAGGACCTTGAAGGCCTCACGCCCGCACATAAGCTCAACAAGGCAACTGTCCTTTCCAAAGCCACAGAGTACATCCGACACCTCGAAAAGCGTAACAAACGTCTACAAGATGAACTCAATACTATGAAAGGCAGGGTCGAGAGCTACGAAAAGATGGCCATATCCGGTCCTATAACATTACACGGTACTGTCAGCACACCAGATGGCTCAAGATTCCACAAAGATCCCTTCACGCCGACACACAGTATGCCCATGTCAGGACCACCACAAGGCATGATACCAGTGCCAGAGAACATCAGCGCCCTCCAGCGCGGCATCCCGCCGCAACAGCACTATGCACATGCGTACCCTCCCGGCTACGGCGGTCGCCCAGCAGTGGGCGCGCCTATGGTCAATGGACGACGCAACGGTGCTATGATGGGCAAGCTCATGGTCGGATCTCTTGCTGGCCTCATGATATTGGAAGGACTTGCAGAGCGCGAGCAGTCGCAAGAAGAGCCAGCCGGACGCGGTCTATTCGCCCTGCCAGTCAATCTCGTCGGCATTCTTGCTCCTCGCGTCTCCCTGGGTGTCTCCACAGCTCAGATCCCTCTAGCCAAGCTTCTGTTGGTATTCGCTGCATTCTTCTACCTCGTTGCGCCGCTGCTCGACTTCAAATCGAAACCGAAGAGAAAGTCGCCTCCTGCGGTCTTGTTGACACCCGCACCGTCACTGGCTTCTCCCGTCGAAGTACGTCGAAAGGCATGGCTCACTGCAATCCAGACCGTCTGGGTGCCCCAGCACAACTTCATCCTCGAGCTCGCTGCTCTGGGCTTGAAGACCCTCAAGCTCAGCATGCGAAGGCTCATCGGATGGGAAGGATACGCCTATCTCACCGGTATTACCAAGGAACAAGAAGCCGCTCGTGTCAAAGCTTGGGAGATCGCATTGGACGCCCAGCTCACGGGCGGTGATGCTGAGATCAGCACGAGCCGTTTGGTGCTTACTTTGATTGCTTCCGGCACATTGCCAGATACGCCTGCGAGACTCATGCTCAAGGCCCTGCATATCCGAATTGTACTTTGGGAACTTGGGAACGCAGGTCATGGCTCGTGGTGGATGCTCAACGAACTAAGTGCAAAACTGGCTCGAAGTTACTGGAACATGGCACGAAGCGAGCACCGCATCGCCATCAACACGTCGAAGCAGAACAACGAAGCTGCGCCGTTGCCTGAACACCTGGCAGCACTTATCGAAAGGGAGTGCGACGAGGTGCTTGTTTCGGCAGTTGTGCAGCGCGCATATAACCTGGCTTGGAACAGGCCAAGCGCAGAACAGACAGTCGTAGACACCTCTATGGACGCTGTTGTGGAGGACTTTGCCATATGCTCTCCGTTGGATGCGCTTGCGGCCTGGTACTCTAGCCTTCTCTTGAACAAGGGACTCGCAGCTACGCTTGGTGCGAAGAACAGCTCATCCAAGGACAATGTCGTCTCCGATCTAGCACTCGCTCTCCGCGCCGCTCCGCCGAACTCACAGGCTCAGCTGCGTGCACTGGTTGCCCAAGCTGTTGTGCTCGACGAAGACCGAAATACTCGCATTGCAGCAGCACTCGAGGCCCTTCCATCGTCACCGAAACCTGCAGATGCCGGCTTCATCAATGTCGTCGGCAATGGCTTCGTTGCAGTCGATGTGCGGAAAGGTCTCACCTTGGCCAAATGCCTCTCGCTGGCCGCTTCTTCGAATCACGAAGCCCGCCGCCGCGCCATCTTCGTCATCAACAACACCTATCTCCCCGAATGCACAACCACACTCCTCAGCTTCGTTGCCGCTCACAAGGTTCTTATGCAGTTCATGGCAGACGATACGCTGAAGAAGGAAACTAGCTGCGGTCTGGAGCGGACTGCAAGTTCCCTTCGCATGTGGATCGGTCACGAGACAGGCAGGAGAAGTGGGCTGACCAACAAGGTCCGAAGCAGGATCATAAGCAGTTGTCTCGACGCGAGTAAGATGCTAGTTGGACTGGCCGAGAGCAAGAAGAAGGACGACGCAGACGTGGATGATGGGTATGCTAGTGCGAGCGTCAAGGATGACTGAGGGTTTGTATTCATGACTTGGCATGCGTTTGACTTGGAGTTCGGGACTCAACAAGGTGGCATTCTTCAACACCTCACTGGAGTTTATACGGATATTTACACGGCATGGATATGCCCGATGTATGGTTCATCTGGCTTACAAGCCTTTCTTTCTTTGTAGCATTTGTCTTTTTGTTAGGCTCGCATAGTGTATAATCCATACACTTGATAGTTTTGTGCAATCGACTTTGTTCCGCGTTCTAGACGTTGACGTTTGACTGCGAAGATGTATACACTACTGTCCACCATTTATTGGTTCGACGTTTTTTTCTTCGGGAATCAAAACAGTTTCTTCCGTACCAACTCGATTATGCATTAAGATTGTGCTACGCTGTGTGGCTGCTGTCTGGGGGATGGTCGAAGGGGAGATGTTCGGGTGTCTTGTAGACAACGATACTGCCAAGATAAGGGTAAAGAGAGATGGACAACTCTGAACAAAAGGGGAGAAAGATGGTTGCAACTACGAATAAAAAGGCAAGGTAATGGTATGATCTTTCTTCTCGTTCTTTTTGCAGAAAGGCCGAGACCCTCGAATGGACTTCGGTGATTTGTCTAACGAGCGGCTGCCGAGGTGCCAGGTTCATGTGTCTGGGGTGGGTCGCAACTAGATTGAGGGCAGTTTCATCCTGTAAACCAATCAAGTAGGTTCTATGATGTCGGTGAAGTCGGAGAATGCGAAGAATACGGCAGTTGAGTTCTGTCGAGATGAACGGAGTTCCGCGTCGCTCGCCAAACTCTCCAGTCCTCGGGAGACAGCGTTCCGAATGGTATGGCCTGAACAGCAAGGATGATATAAATGTTGCAATGCTGGGGATTCGACGTTGAACTTAGTCCAGGTATGAACATAAAAACAAAAGAAGTCTATTCTTGTATCGAAACTTTTACATACTACAATGCATGTAGATAGAAAGGTAGAGAGTTGAATCTCTACAATACTGCCCATATCCGTTGAGACGTATCCCAAGCTTGATTTAGTCAAACGTTAGAATAGTATAATTGCTAGCAGCAATGCGAATTCGGGTTGCTGCCGCTATGTTCAACAAGAGCCGGCCCTCCTGACGATGCTGAAGAGTTTCCCGCACCAGCTCCCGCAAAGATAGGGTCCAACCACTTGTCCACAGTGTACACGCATGCGCCACTGACACAGTATGCCTCTCCCTTCACAGCAGCGTTATTAACGCTCGTGATAGCTCCCTTGTTGTCCCTTTCAACGGTGGCAGGGAATCCAACGATGGACTTCTCCTGACCAGTCGATGTCGTGTCAATGAAAGGGTACTTGAGCAAATAGGAAGACAGTGCGTTGTTGCTTGGTTGAAGAGCCTTTACGCTTTGCCCAAGAGCCTGAAGTGCTTCGTTGCTCGGCGCGAAGATGGAGAGGTTCTTGCCTTGGCCGAGAGATCCGTCGAGAAGATAGGCAAAGTCTGGAGATGTCGCGTTCAAGAGCTCCACGTATGTCGATAGGTCTTTTTGAGAAGCCAGGGCCGATGCAATCGAACCCTCGTTCTGAGATGCTGGGTATGACGCGGATGCGGCTTTGTTGAAATCATCAGCCCCGAAGAGTCCAGCGAAGGAATCGAGTACCGATGTGATTTTGAAGATGGCTCCGTTTCCGACCTCGGTCCTGGACGTGGAGACTAAGTTGGCTTGCTTGTTGACTGAGACAGTTTCTCCTGCCGAGCTGAACGAGAGAGGTGTGCCTTCGATGGCAGTGACGGACTTGCCCGAAGTCTTAACGTCTTCCGTTGTGATCGATCCTTGTACGATGTGGCTTCGCAGGATAAACTCGAGTAGCGGATAGGACGCTGGTGCTGTCAAAGCTGTGCTCAGTTCTTGGAGTAAATTCTTGAAAGCCTGTACAAGTTAGCCATCCATCAAGGCGATACAACAATCGGCATCATCGCTTACCGAGTTGACAGGTGCAAAGGCCGTGTATTTGCGTCCATCAGTGAGGTTGTTGAATCGCTCTTCAAATTGGGGACCAGGAATGCCGCTGGCGCCACCAGTGCTGTTGATAAGGCTGTAGAAGATGGAAAGGTCTGGGTCGTTTGAAATGGCAGTCAAGAGAGGGGCAGAGTCTTTGGTGTCCCTCTCCACTGGAGAAGAAGTTGCGAGGATGGTAAGCAAAGCGACTGGGAATACGCGCTTGGCTAGCATCTTGATGTCTTGATGTATAGTTTCAAATTGAACTTGAAGATTGAGGAATAGTTGGCTGTGACTTGTTTGTCGTTCACTTGGTGCCACGAACGGTCAAGTGAGAGCTTTTATATCTTGCTTGTGAAAGTATATGGGTAACCCACGTTACCTAGGTAGCTTTCGGTCCGTGTTCGAGTAAATTCTGTCGCTGTCAGAGGTTTGAGTTTACCCAGGCGCTGTACTCCGTAGTGTTTGTTGGATCGTCAGCAGATGGAGTGACTTTCGGGGAAAGCCAAGCGAGCTGCAGGGCTGATAGCGGCCAAGGGTAACAGTACCCAAGGTGAATAGATCTTGACTACATCATTAGCGTTGAATCGGTGTTCGTCTTCATCTGTTGTTGTTATTGTTGTTGTCTGTGACATCGGCAGGTATGGCGACGAAACATTCCAAGGCTGAGCGATGTGGACCGATAGGTGTGGGACACGAGAATGACATCAGAAAGTACGCTCCTGAATAGCCAGCATAGCAAACCCTGGAGAGATGCAATGAAGAGCTTCGTGACGCTGCCGATCTGATATCATAAACTACCCGAGGCGCTAAAGGCAGCTAGGACCTACAACATACGCCATCCTGAAGTCTAAAGGATGTCGCAATAATTCGTTTCAGACTGGTGGGTAACGTGGGGTGAGCAGCCCTGCAACGGATTGTTGCAACGTCATCGTGACATTCTAACTCGGTAGGGGACAGGATGGATGCTACACTGATTCTAGCCATCCCGGGCGGAGATCCTCTATTCAGAACGCAGACCACACATGCTACTAAGCCTATGCTGCAATTAAGTATGCCAAGTTGTCAATGCACATAGCCCCAACGCGCACTAGTAGGAAGGAAATTGCATCATCTGGATGTGTGGAAAGTATCTAGGTACGTTGTTCTCAATGGAGACGAATCCGCCTCGAGCTGACTGGCGGACTCGCAATACGGTTATATGAGGATTCGTCTTTTGCAGGCTGTCTCTTTCCATTACTCGGACTTCAACAGTGGCAACATACTGCCTGCACGAGCTACTAGAAGTGACTCCGATTCTAGCAAGATCCAACAAAGCATATTGCTCACCCATCACCAACGCAGCCAGCGTGCCACTTGAATCCTGCTCTTTATGATCCCAGCAACACTGCTGTACGGGAGTTGAGACAAAAAGAAGTTATGAACAAGACAAGAGCGTCAATAGAACTGAGTCTCTCTACCGCTTCAGGAAGTAATAGGGAATAACAGCAGCCCCCACCATAGCAGAGATGGCCAGCCATCTCATCAGACCCTTGTTGATCATCTTCTTCGCTAATCTATCGATGGCCTCTCCATCGTTGATCCTCGGGAATGGAATATCTTTTGGGACCTCTTTCCCCAGTGCCTTACACAGCGGCTCCCAACCGTCCCTGACATCGAAGAAGAACAGTCTATCTTCAGGCACGACTCTCTTCAAGTAAGAAATGTGCGCGTCCCAGTCTTGGGTGGAAACCCCGTCCCTTTTGCCATACAACTGGACCCATTGCTTCCCCAGGCCGTCGGTAAAGTCGGGAAAGTGGCGCATGCCTGGAAGAGGGAAGAGTACAAAACGCAGAAACCACATTGTCGCTGCGTTCGATACAACTCCTATGCTCTTCACCCACGCGTCTGGGTCCCGAACCGTGCATATGACCAGCGCATCAGGATACACTTCGACTAGCTCTTTGACCAGTCCATTGAATGGCATGTCGGTGGCTGCGGCGTAGCCGTCCAAGCGCTGCTTCAGCAGCTCGTGGACAAGCTGTGTCTCGGAGGGCGACTGTGGTGGCGAATGATTAAGAATTTTGATCAACGGTTTGATCTCTTTCTCAGCTCCGAGAGTAGCCTGTGTACCACCGTGGTAGACGGGCCCATTGAGTAAGATGTGCAATGCTTCGCTGAAAGAGGAGGTTCCGGTGCGCGAGAGGCCAGCACCGATGACCTGAAATTTGGTGCCCGGTTGGGGGACTGAGGGTTGATTACCCATTGTTAATGATAGGATGAAGTTTCGCTCACGATAAATATGCGGTTGGGCCGCTGGTTATATACATGTAAGCACGGATGTACTACGGAGTACAGCGACATGCGGGGAGCTGCAGACGAGCGTTCGCTTTAGGCTAGCTCTTCAATGCAGCCAATAGGATCGCCCCTAGAGTGCCAGCACCCAGCAGACACGACACTGGGAGGGAACATTGCGCATTATGGGTGCGCTCCGTGAAAACGCAACTCTTTGTTTGTGAATGCTATTATTTGGGACTAGTTTGGTGATCCGCGCGATGGGCCGCTGCCTGTTAGTTTGTAGCCGGCTTGTTGGCCGCAAGCGGGCCGATGATGATATGTCCCGTGAAGCGCGGGAAGTTTGCACGGCATCGACATTACATCGACGGCAATACATGAGCTCAAGGTATTGGTACGCCGGCACGCAGGCGATAACAATGTCGCTGTCTGGTACAGCAGAGCGCAGCAGGCGAAGTCGAACCCTACAGGTGTTAAGCGCGTGCCACATCCAGTGCATTCTCCCGAGGTCGAATCCGTGATCGTGTGGCGCCCAAAATTGACATTGGTCCTGAGCCATCCAAGTGAATACTTCGCAATTTCTTACCTCACATTGCTTCCCCCAGACCGTTCGGTCTTCGAGTTGAGTGCACTACTGGGGATCAGATGGGACGGACTGCCATAGTACTAAGTTACGCGTCAAATATGTCGAGATAGTTCTCTCGTGAGAACAGACCATGAGGGTCGTTTCGCAGTTCTCTGCCGGACATCTTATGAGGCTGGTGTGGCCCATGTATGTATGGAGTCTCGATTCCTTCCACGGAACACATTCAAGTCGCCGACCTTTTTTACCCAGACTTCGCTGGACATAGATGCCATCCGTGTGTAGATGTGGACACAGAGGTCAATCTAGTTGCGTCACAGGCCGAGCAGAGAAGATTGGCATCAATCCGACTGATCTCTTCCTCGGCCGACCTGAAGTATCGTTTGTTTTCAATGTCCCTCACAAGTCTTTCCTTCAACGCTTCCCGTTCGTGTACATCCCTCTTAATCTTTTGCTCGTCGTTCAAGAGCAAGGCATATCGACGGCACGCGAGTCGCAGACAACGCTTGTCAATAGGTCGCAATCGTTCTGCAATTTCGAGTACGAGTTCAGGGGGCAAGCGATATGTGTGAGAAGTACAGGCGTCACGGATCTCGATGGACTCTGCGAGTTGGTTGGCCTTCTCTCTACGCTTCATTGTTGGGGACCAACAGTTATTTTTATACTCCGTCAAAAACCTGTATAAGAAGAGGTGCGTGGTGGGTATGTTCGTTGCCATACGATGGGCGTAGGATGGGCACTATAGATTTTAATTTAATTGTCGCTTACAACAACGGCGATCTAAATTTACAGGTACTTTGACCCTCGAATGGGAGTGTTGTAGAGTATCAGTCAACAGGTAATGGAAGACCCTCAGAAGGGTATCGTCTACGTGGATCCATGGTCCAGGGTCAACAGGCATTCTGGGTAGTAAGTGGTCGCGCCTAGTTCACCGGTTTGAAGACGATCCTATTCGCTTATTACGCGCGAGAGAAGTCATAATTGAGGTTTCTACAAAGTTGATCACTCCACAGCCAGGGGTGATGTGGTAATATTGAAGCGTCGGTGCTATCAGTCCCCAGCCTCATCATATTTGTGGCTCGAGTTTTATACATAAAACAACCACGATGACCACATTTTAGATGCTGATCGAAACGAAGAGGCTCGGAAAATGAGAGAAAAGGATTCGCGCGTGATTGAGGGTGGTTGCAGGTGTAATGTTCCAAGGCCTGCCCAAAGCACGTGCGACGACGCTAGTGGCACTTATGTCATCACAGATTGTGCTAACTTTTTGATAGTAGGGCAATCATCGTCACCAGCAGCTCGAGGCCCAACACGACCAACCTATCTCGACGTGCATCAGTCGCTAACGCCCTATACCCTAACTAAACCAATCGTACACTCGAACAACCGCCAAAATGGTCAAGCTCGAAGAAGTCATGGATGAGGAGTTTGTGCGCGAGCAGGAAGGCCCGCATGACGACGATGAGTGGGATACCGATTCTGGTACGATACCGCAAACCACTCCCTAGAAGCGCCTGGCGCATAGAAGAGGGTATATAAAAGATATCCGAAAACTAAATGTACCACTGCAGAGTCAGACACATCCTCCATCCACTCCGTAACACCTGACGAGACCCTCTACGACCGCATCATCGCCCTACAAGACATGATCCCCGCCAGCACACGCCGTTCCGTCTCCTCAAAAGCCAACACAATCACTTCATGGTTCAAGAGCGGTCTGAACATGGGCGGCAAGACTCTCTGGGTGGTGAGCACAAGTGCGCTGCTGCTCGGTGTGCCATGGGCATTGGCGTACAGCGAGGAGCAGATGATTGTTGAGCAGGAGAGGGCTGAGTTGCAGGCACAGAGGGCGCAAAATGAGGTACGTTGAGACTATGAGTTGTTGCGTTCGGCTACCAGCCGTTCCACGATGAGCGTTTTTGAACATCTCGCTAACATTTGACAGTTCATGGCCCCCGGTGCGCCGACACCTGGCCAGCCAACAGGCGCAAAGCCTGCTTTGTAGACGACGAAAATTCCGATTTGGCGATTCGACTGAATGCGACTCAAACAATAAAAACGTTGAGCTCTTCACATCTGTTTTACTAGGATGGCGGTGCGTGGAACGGGCTGAACTTGTACATAGAGCGGCGAGAGTTTTACGCCGTAACGATCTGTACTATATTTCTCGACTCCACGATAATGTATTGCATCACATATTCAGCTTGCAAAAGAAAAAACCCCCGATTGTTTCTGTACATTTTATTTTTTTGCGCCCACTGGCTATGCTACTATATGTACAAATACATCGTCTCATGTCGACATGCAAACGTCTGGCGACATAGATGCTTCGCCGAATCCCGGTCTACCAAAGCTCGTATTCCATCAGATGTCAACGTTGCGCCTTTTACATTCATAAATCACCCCAGCCGCGCGCATTCAGTACCGCGATCATTCCGCAGATAGTGGGATGAGACCAGGAAAGCGGTGACGCTGGGTTTGCAGACGACGCTCGCTCCAAGAAAGGTGGTAATACAGCAAAGAGAAGAGTCATGGTATTATAGTCGATACATGGGTGTGTGGAGAGGCGTTTAGAAGGGGATCGAGCCGGCTGACATTGCGGCGCCCTGTTGTTCTTGCTGTTCCATGATGGCCTCGTCGGCGGCTTCTATCGCAACGGCCAGACCAAGCTTGGCGGCGTTCTACGAGTTTGTCAGTGTTTGCAACCAGATAGGGAGTTGGCAAGACTTACGCTCTTGTGGTCGATTTCACCTGAGAAGGTCACACGGATCGGCGGCGCAATCATCTTCTCCAACAAACATGAGACCTTGCCCTGGTTGTCGATTTGCGCCCTGTATGACGACTGACGGAAGTCGTACTTGGCACCGATTGTGACGTTGCCCTCCTTCTGTGGTCCGGCCATGGGTCCTCCAGGGCCAATTCCAGCGAATGCGAGGTTGCAGTTGATACCCGTCTCAACCTTGTCTGTAAGCCTGCGCCAGTATGAAGCCTCCAATACACCACGATCAGGAATGATCTGACCGCACGCCATCCAGTCGACAGCCCTGTAACGTGCCGCATATGAGACGTTCAGCTCTGGTGGGTATGCCATAGCGGGGCGGGTCCAGAAAGCATCGATACCGAGTGAGAGCTTGGGGGTGACGGCCTGGAGGTAGCTTGCCATGAGCATGCCAGTAATACCGCCATCGAGTATGGAGGGGTTGACAGCCTTTAGCGAAGCGGAGAAATCGGCGCCAGTGTAGTCGTTCTCGAGCGACACCATGTTGCCTTGTGATGTGAGCTGGACGGCGGTCTTGGTAACGAATGCTGACGTCCAGCGCCAGTTGAAGCGACCGGAGAAGGCAAGCTCGTTATCGAGGTTTCCTTGCATGAACACCTTGAAAAGTCAGCTTGAGAAGGCTGCAGATGACCTGAGCGACAAACCCGTGGTGATCCGTAAAGAACCATGTATGAGTATGGTGGCATGACCTGCGATCCCATAGACAACGAGTGCGCAACCTGGAATAGAGGAGCGGCGCTGAAGGCCTTGGTGAGCTCGGCGCGCAGGCCTGAGAAGCTGGAGTTGTTCAGGAAGACATCGCGTTGGACCTCTCTCGCAATGTTCTCGACTGTGCCCGGGTTGCTGAGACCCAATGCTTCTCTCCGCTCTTGGAACGCATCGTATACATTTAGGAATTGTGCGAATGGACCGGTATTGGCGGCGCGAGGGCGTGATAGGATGTCGGCGACAGCTTGTTCCTGCGCTGGGTTGAATTGCAGCGGAGTGGCCATGGCGAAAATATGTGCCGAGGTCAAACTAAAAACTCCCTACAGTGTGGGAGAGCTTGCACAAGGTGGGATGGAAATGGCAGTAAACGGTTGGAGGGCGATGTTGGGTCGCGTTCGCTAGCATGACGATATCGAACAGAAATTCTAAAGCCGTCACGTGATGTGACCTAGTGACGCTAGAGCTTATCAGATCTCTAGTACTCAGGACGTGCCGCCCGTTGATACCATGCTTGCTTTTTGGGATCATTGACTACCAAACCCCGCAAAGTGCTGCCTGACTACTCCCAGACTCCAGACCCTTCTGCGACACTGTTACGTGGAACTTGCTGCACTTGACTGTTACGGGTTGCCGCACCTTGTTTGCTGACATCTCTCGGCAAACGCTATCATCGCCGGAACCTTGGAACTGTGACCTTGAACCGAACCCAACTCTATTTCATTGACATTCGACCGTTTCTCCTCCAGTGCATCTTGCACTTCTTCCCTTTCCATCACTTACTTCCATCAACCTGAAGAATTTGCAATTATGGATACCCTACTGTGAGTGCCATGACCCCACTTCCCGCAGCAATGCGAAAGTACCAACGCTGGCCACCTCCTGAACAGGACATTCACTTATCATGAACAGTACCGCTGAGATATACGCAAACTCACCCCGCTTCCGGCGGCGGTCGAGCACTTTTGTCGACGCAATCCACGACTTACCCACCAAAGAGGAAATGGCTCCCGCTCAACTCTATAGCACAGAGTCAGGCCGCCTGTTCCATTCCGGTCGTATAGTCATCGCCACCTGCGGACTGCCAGCTCGAGGAAAGACACACACATCCGTCGCCTTAGCCCGTTACCTCCGGTGGCTGGGTGTCAAGACGCACGTGTTTCATCTTGGCGACTACCGGCGCGCTACGCTAGGTCCGGACAACGATGTGCCCGACGACTACTTCTTTCTGAACGCATCACCACAATCTGTCCTACTACGTAACAAGATCCTGAAAAAGTGCCGTGAGGACATCTACCACTTTCTGGAAAACGACAAGGGCCAGGTGGCTATTTACGATGCCGTCAATGCAATCAGTCAAGGCCGGAGGTCTTTAGCGAAAGAATTCGCCAAGAACGGGATCCAGACAGTATTCATCGAATCACATTGTACCGACGAACGCATCATCCAAGAGAACGTCCGTCGGGTCAAAATCTCTTCGCCAGATTACCAAGGATGGAAGGACGAGGATGCGGTTCACGACTATCTAGCACGCATCAACGCGCGGATACCGCATTTCGAGACCATGGAGGAGCCAGACCTGCACTGGATCAAGATGATCAACGCTGGCGAGCGAGTGGTGGTCAATAATTGCGCTTTCGGATATCTGTCCCAACGCATCGTCTTTTACCTGCTTAATCTTCACATCAAGTCACGGCAAACGTACTTTGCTCGGGCTGGAACTACGCGGGAGGAGGACTCGTACAAAGCGGACGCAGATCTGTCACCAGCAGGTCATGAATATGCTAAGAAGATGAGCGAAGTGCTCTTGAAGTACCGCGAAGAGGAGAAGCAGAAGCTGATTGAGTCGGGAGCAACTGATGCATCGTTGAAACCGTTGACTATCTGGACTTCTACGCGCCGCAGGACTGTACAGACGTCAGAGGTTCTAGCTTCCATGGGCTACCGCGTCAGACAGCGGTCGCAAATGAGCCAGATGAACCCTGGTGTATGTGAGAAGATGTCAGAAGCCAAGATCCGCCAGGAGTTCCCCGAGGAAGTGAAGAAGCACGAAGCAGACCCATACCACCATAGGTATCCGCGCGCAGAGTCATACCACGATCTAGCCGTGCGCATGGAGCCCATCATTCTAGAGCTTGAGCGTGAAGAGAACGATCTTCTCATCATCGCTCACGAGTCTGTCCTTCGTGTGCTTTACGGATACCTGATGGCATGTAATGCAGCCGACATACCCAAGCTCGAGTTCCCTCGCGATGAGATCATCGAGGTAAGTTCATTCAATGACGCTCTCTGCCATCTCTATCTTTACACTAACACTTCTCCAGATCATACCCTCCTCCTACAACAACGTGGCAAAACGCATCAAGATCCCCGAGCTACCCGAATCCATGGTTTCTGGAAGCCCCGAAGATATCCAGATCCCCGTCCCACCAAGCGGAGCCGTAAGTCCACTATCTGGAATGGGTACCCCACAAGCTGGTTCCGGCACTGCGACACCCCAACACGGCGTGCAACCCCTGAATCTGAAGGCACATATTAACCCTTCTTCTTGATCAGGTGCGGTATCGGTGTCGGTACGGCGCTACATTTGATAACGAGCGGGCGAGCCAACAGACGGACTATGACACGGATTGAGGAGCAACCGTTTTGTTGGTGTGGCACGTGCAGCGCAATGAATGGCTTCTGGGTAGACGATGAGGATTTCGGCATGAGTACACGGACGGACATTTGTCTGGGCGTTGGGGTGCAGTGTATTGAAGACCATCCTTAGATTACACTTAGCTTCTTGACCTGTTATTCAATATCCTTATGAACATGACCTTCTCAGTATCGTCGTAATCGTTATGTTTTCTTTGAGAACATCAAAGTGAGTGAATATTGGGTTTAATGTTCTTGATTGCTTAATGTAATGATGGATGATTTCTTCGTTACCGTCTAACGACAATTCTTCACCCATGATCATATGTAAGCCTTTGTTTCCATGATGACTGACATGAAAGACGCCGCAGCAGTACCATATTGCCGCCCAGTACCCCTTCGTCGACACAATATTCAGAGAGTTCCTGACTGTGCCTTCATCACACTCCAACGTTCCCACCATCCAAGCCATATTTGTTACTCATTGCCTAGCGTTCGCACTTGAATATAGGGTCAGTTAAGAATGCGTTAGACATACTCGCAATGATAGCTTACTCGTTGCCCCAACCCCTGTCGATAGCCCACTGCCATCCACCCCAACCATCATGATCACGCGGACGGACCCTGAATGGCTCATCCTCACGCGCAGCAGGACACGCCCAGGTATCACCTGAACCGATACCGTAGTACTTCAGGCCATAACGAGTACCGTCGGTCTGACAGGGGGTAAGGGGGCGCGTGTCGCATGGCATCTCAGGTAGATCGAGGTCGAAAATGTTGGGGAGAATAGCTAGGAGGCACTCCATCTCAGCGTCAGCATCGTGGATGTCAGCATATGAGGGAACATGGTGGTTCTCGAAGATGTCGAACGGCGGGGTGATAGACGGGGCTGGGGCGGGGAAAGTGAAGGCGAAAGGGTGGGAGGGCTCTCCGAACTGCTGCGTGTAGTGAGCCATGGAGGAAGGTTCTGATAGGGACCATCGTACTGGCGCATGGTTCTTCAATGCTGAGATGCCGCGAGCGAAACCGCTGCGTCTCTGTGGGTTGTCAGGCTTCTGTGCATAGACTTCTGCTGGAGTGGGCCAGACTACAGTATTCTCTGCACGGAACGGCCTCTCGGGAAGCACCGCTGGCACAAAACTGGGGAACATCTCTGTAGGCTCTGATCGGTACGACGGGCGGCGCGGCATGACGTTCGCATCGTCGGGGTAAATATCGGCGTGCGAAGGCTCGGGACCTTGATCAGTGCGCTTGGTACGGGTGAGTGCTCGTGAGCGGTAACCTCTTGGACTGGGAACCTCAGGTACATGATCACGGTGTGGCGGCCAGTTGGGGGTCTGGAGGTTGCTAAAGCGTCGAGGCTGTCCGAATCCCGCAGGATCTGTAGATATTTGCTGTAATGGTGACTGCATGCCCGCTGGGTTGATAGACGTACGCTCCTCTGCGAAGATCCTACGAGGACGTTCGCCCATGAAGCCCGGAGGCGCGGGAACTACTTTCGTGGGCGGGAATTCTTCATCCACACACTCTGGATACCTGTATTGAGTATAGCTCTGGCGACGTAGAGGTGTCTTAGCGACGTCGTCCAGTGGTGCTTCTTTGCCGTTGAGATATTGGGCTAGGGTATTAGCGGTTAACGGCTTGTCCAGCGCCCGCCCTATGAGCTTACCAAAGACGCCTTCTGAAAGACCTTCAGAGCCATGGGACTTGTGGGAGCATGTTGGGGAGTCGACGTTAGTTGTCTCCTTCTTGATACGGGGTAGACCGAGGCCCGCACTCAGCTCGGCGACGTCTGGCGCATTGGAGTCGGGTTCGAGGTGCTGGCCAGAGAATATGGTACGCAGGCTGTTGACGGGGTTTCCTGTGAGATTGCTTCGAGAGATTGCACCGGGTCTACCGCGGTTCAAGGTAATGTGGTGGTCTGATAAGTCAGCTTTGGATCTTCGCATCGTGATGAGATTGACGTTACCTCGTAGCATCTCCTGAAGGGAATTCAACGGCATATCCTCCTGCTTGAGTGACTGCCATGGCTTTGCTCCGAACTTGAGCTCTTCGTAGCCTTGGTAGTTGGGTCGCAGGTCTCTAGTAGGCCGGAAAGGCGAGTCTTCTACCATCTAGTCAGTCTTGCTAGCGGTGCTGGCGAGTGAGTAGACTTACCATCACAGACGTCTCGCATCCTGGACTTCTGTCGTGGACTGGTAGGCGGAGTTGGTCCTGCGAGTCCGGTGGACATGCTAGTCTCGGCTGCCGTTGGACTGAAAGTTGGTGCTTCTGGATTGAACGAGACAGACCTTCGCGACGCTCTCGGCTGCTTCTGCTCCATATCGTGATCTCGACGCAGAAGTGTTGACAAAGGAGAGTTGTTTTAAAGGCGTAAGATGGCAACGCTTGGGCATTATCCTCAAGTCCAACTTCGACAGTGAATGCTGCGGTGACTTGCGATTTCGATCGTCCGTCACGTTCGTTTACGGCGACTCGGTCGGCAAACTCAGCTTGGCGTATCGCAGTGAATAGCGATATATACGTGATACGACTTCTGTAATGAGCGATTGAGTTAAGACTTGCGAAGACGATTGAGCATAGCTATGAGAAGAAATGGATATAGATGGCGTCGTTAGAATGACCAGTCAAGACTGGCATGGACTGACTCTATGATTTCTACATCAAGCTGTGCAAGTGAAGGTGAGTGCTTAGCGCCAGATACTGAGTGTCGCAAGGCTACCTAGGCAGCGCATGTGCGAAGGTGAAGGTAGACATCCTGGCCCATGGCGACGATACATGGTGAAAGCTGTTGACCGGGGTGGCAAAACAGCTTCTGACTTCCTGTTACATACGCGACGTGCTCTAGCATCGGCTCCCGCGCTCTTTATGAGATCTGAGGCCCCCACGAAGCCAGTCAGCGTGTGGGTGACGGTAGACTAAATGGCGCACGGACGGCCTCGATGACTGCTCGCGTGAGACTTCTGGGACAGCACACCAATCAGAAGCGAGCACGATGACGCCCTGACGCGCCTCATGCGCCTCATTGAATAGGGCTGGAGTGCAACTCACGTTTAAAAACCTCGCACTACACGCCCCTTTGCGCCTGCTACATTCAAAGTTAGAGTCTCTATTTTTTCAGGTTCATAGGCCCCAGCCCACAACACGAGTGCCTCGCTAATCTGTGGTAAACCACAGCACGCGACCCCATCTTTTTCCACCACAATAATGCACACTAGCTTCACCAGCATAAATCAACAAATACATCAGCCAGACCATCATACCCACCATGCCGATGATGTTCACCCCAGACGACACGTTGCTGTTCTCACCTAGCAAGAAACAGCCGTTTGCTCACTCACCTTATGGTCACAAGATAGGGACCGCGACTCGATGTCACCATGAGCTCCACCCCTCCAATCCACAACATACTCCATGGTGTTCCAAATGCACTGTTTCGCAGGCTAGAGCAAAGTCCGACGTTGCACTTAAGAAGCTGGTAGCCGAAGGCGGATTAAGACCTCTAGGGTACATGCGCAACCGACGGTGGAACAGAGCAAGAAACGGGTACCTGATAGCGAAGCAGCGACTCGAGAAGACACGCAAGGAGGAGCAGCTACGCTGGGAGCGCGAGCGAGCGTGGGACGACGCTCACGAACGATTCGACTCCCACAACATCCAGGCAGCAGTCTTACCCAACAAATTACCTTCGTTGTGCCCCATTTGTGACTCCTTGGTATCATCTTACCCCACGACAATGCCTGAGGCGCAACCCACAAAGTACGAGGCTTGGTGGGAGAGACCAAGCGCTCTTGCCGCCTCACACACACTCGTGCACCAGACGACACCACGCTCGCGCAACCAGCATCCTACACCCACGCAAACACGCAGAGGCAACCCCATACTGCGCCAGACAATCGCAGACATCCGCAAACAAATGCATTCGGATGCCGAGCTGCGACGAGCCTGGGAAGCCCGAGACAAGACCGAGGCGGCGCTACGTCGCAAGCACGGCTTGGGCGACATGCCCATCAACAACGAGTTCTGGGACCACCCGATATCCGGATACTTTAGTCGTCTTGCCCACCAGAACAACAAAGAAATGGTCCGTTCGGCGGAACGACGCGCACGCGGTAATATTGCGCGCCCCCGGCCGCCACGTAGCTCACTGTCCTACTCTGAGACGACAGACGACGTGGAAGTCGAACCGGGCTTTGAGGAAACATTGAAAGAGAAAGAAGAGCGCGAGGAATGGGAGCGACAGGTCAGGAGAGTTGCAGGCGAGGTTGGATACCTTTATTTCGTGGGCGGTGGTATCAACGGTTTGGAACAGTGGGAAGAAGATTACGAGCGGAGTGCAGAGTATCTTATTACGAGGACCGAGACTCCTGCTGAGCCGGTGGCCGACGAGGACGTTCAGGATGAAAGCGAGACCACGGATGGTGATGCCAACGAGGAGGACTGGGGTGATGAAATGGATGTTGATGACGCTTAGGAGGGTGATGATACATTCTGTCATATCGACAGCGCTTAGATTGCTAGTTGAGTCGTTGTATTAGAGATACACAGTGTACATTTATATTAATGTTTGAGGGCTCAACACAGCTTCATCGACGTGCGGTTGACGTGCTTTGTGAATGCGTGTCGTGCAGGGGATGCCATCGCTCGTGGGGTTTCTGCGGATCGATCTTGTGGCGCTTCTGGAATACGTCTTGTGGGGTTAAATGACATCGAGGCATGGGTTGAACGGACGATGCACGAAGCGTTGAAGACGCCAACGTGCGCGTGAAAAGCTTGTCTAGCGCTAACCAATCTAGGTACTTTCTTTTGTCGATCGGAAGCATGAGCGAAATCACGGTATGTTCTCCAAAAATCTTACTCTCAATGATACATTATAGCCCTGTCATGTAAGACACATATCTACGAAGAACTGCGAGTCCCCTCATTTGATACTCATATGTCATCAGCATGACCAGGTAGCTCGTGTACCAAACCACTACCCTGAACTTCCGCAACGCCTACTTTACCTGAGCCCTTCAGTTCCCGGGCATTCTCCACTGTCTGGAGTTCAGATGCTTCCCTGTCCATTGCCTCATGCTTGCCCGAGCCTGCATCTAGCTCGAATCTCTCTTTCTCCATAGCCTCAATCCCCGGCTTGTGCTCGCCATGTAGTTCGGCTTTGTTGTGGTCGTTCTGGCCGTCCCCGTTCGAGGTCTTGCGTCGGCGGAAAGGTACCCATTTTCTCTTCCAGGCTACGATCAGACACAATGCCGAGAGCGCCAGGGTGCCCGCGCCTACGCCGATTCCCGCATACGCAGCTGAAGAAAGTTCCTCCGGGCTGTTCGTGGGTGAAGGTAGAGGCAGATCTGAAGTTTGGCTGGGTTCGGATAGTGAAGGGATTGACACGATGTTCGTGGAGCTACTATCATGAGACGCTTGACTTAAATTGAAACTCTGTGTTTCGTAGTTGACGGTGATGTAAGTTTCTTGCAGAAATGTTCGACCGAGCATGTGTTGTGCGGGCTCTGAAGCTCGCTTCAACGGGAAGTAGTATGTAGCGGTATCCACAAAAGGGTATGTGAGCCTGAGATCGAAAGCCGAATATGGAAGCGTGTAATTTGTTGCTTGGTTGTCAAGTCCGATAGTAAATCGTACCTCGGGATTCTCGCGTAAAAGTCGTGTATGCGTTGTATCGTTGATAAGATACAGTTCCGATGTGTCATCCCAGACTAGTCCGAATGCCGTTTCGAACATTACACAAGCCTCCTCCGGGAGCCATATTTGTGGAATTGCGGAATCAATTGGAAATGCCGTTCGCAGGGATCGTTTCTCTGGTTCTGGGGCGGATTCCCACGAAGCGACCCCATTAATAGTGATTGCGCTTAAGTGTATGAAGAACCAAGTGCTATTCTGGATTGTGAAGCCCCATTGCGTAGTAGTTGCAGGATCGAATCGTGAAGAATCGTAACCGCCCAAGACCAGACTAGCCGACGTTTTGCCTGCGAAAAGATTCAGCCATGAGCCATGTGTCCTCCCAGATTGGTCACACGTACGATTAGAAGAGCCCGCTGTGTAGCCAAAGCTCAAGCTAGGAATGCCTCTTGAGTTCCAGAGTGATAAGAGGAGTGAAGGTCGTGCTGCCCCAGGGGGACCGACGGATCCCGGGAAGAGACCAAGTGTCCCAAGTTGGAACCTCTTCCAAAAAGCCTCAGCAATATATTGCGAGGAGATTTTGCGATCTTGCGCAGTCTTTCCGAGGTATACATCATCAACGCCGAATGAAGCGAGGTTCGGGTTGCCTTCTTGGCCTTTTTCGCTAATGTCGGGGTAGCTGCTGAGGTATTCATCTATTTCTACAGGCATACGATTGCGTGGTTCTACCCCTTCCCAGGTGTTCGACCAATCGCCGTAAAAGAAAGCGCATGTATCATTGCACCATTTGCTCTCCCTCGGCACGATCACGACCGGAGATGTTATGCCAGGAATACATCGAAAAGACTGGACTGGATTGCCCACGGAGAGGTCAAAGGTTGACCACGGACCGTCTGCGCCGTCCCTATTCCACGATTAGTTGAATCTCAAGCTCATAATCATGGCAAGTTACCAATGCCCGCTAGGTGCGACGACAAGCGGTTCCACAGTAACCGCCTGCCCCAGACAGTGCCCTACCCAAACTGCTGTGAGCCACGTATAAAGTAGGACACAGAATCGAAAAGTCATGACATTCCAATCTCCATGAGAGGAAGAAAAGGAGACGCAGGACGGTGAAAAACGGAGACGCAAGCAGACTGAATGTACGTTTGAACATTGGGGGCCATAATGACTGCTTGCAGCAAATTACAGGGCAGTTGTTTATCGAGCGATGCTACTGGTGGACAGAACCCCAATAACTATCGGGGGCCTGTACGCCAAGTGGTCTTACCGGTCTGGGTGCCGCCCAGCCTTGATGAGCTAACTTGCAAGAGAACGAACGCCGTGCGGGCATGCAATATAAGCTGTGAACCGGACATTGAAACAGGCACCGCGGATATCACCTATTTGGGGATCTGAAAATGTTCCGCTCTTGCTGAGAAGGGTCATGTATTCATTCTCATAGAATCAAAGGGTATACAGACTCACAAAACAACCCCCCCACACTACTCACAACTCCCTCCTCTTCCTCGCCTCCTCATCCCCATTCACAACCTCACCCGTCCTCTTCAAGTCCACAAATTCGCCCTCATCCTCGAGCGCATCGACATCACCCCTCTCCCTCGCCTTCTGTAATTCCTCTGCTTCCTTCCTATCAGCTTCTTTCTGCATCTGCTCATCTACCTCTTGTCTCTCTACAATCTCCGCTTCCTCACCGACCTCTCCGGTCAATGGTCCCTCGCTCTCTTCGTACCAGTCGGTACTCTCTGTCCACTCGATAATCTTCTCTTTGGCTGTCTCGCTGAGCGTGTAGTAGCCGGGGTTGTTGCGAGGCTCGAACATGGATGTATGGGCCCAGGTTTCTGCTGTAGCCTTGTCGTTCACCGCGGGCATGAAGAAGTCTTTGAGAGGGCCTTTGGGTAGGTTGCAGAAGGTGCGGTCTTTGCCTGCGACTTTGCCCGTCCAACCGTGTTCCTTGTTCTCGCTGTTGACGGCGTGGCCGAGCGTGGTGTGCATATTGCAGAAGCCGAGACCGTGGCTCGTGGTGAGTGTCGCAATCTTCTCGAGTCGCTTTCGCATCTCTTCGGGGCGGGCTAAGACTCCGACGAATTCTAGATGTGATGTGGCCCATGATACGCCCTGCGTTATCTGGTCTTTCTTCATGTAGGCTGCTGCACCTCCTGCTGCAATTGCGCCCGCCGCACCAGCAAACATGGCCACCTTTCCGTAGCGTTGCCAGAGCGGTGCCGATGCTGCGTCGCCAGTAGACGAGGGTGCTGGGAGCATCTTGCTCGTATCGATGGCACCAGCCGCAGTGTCCCTGCCACCCCATCCAAATGCGCCTGCAAGGTTGTTGTACGCTGAGTATGCCGAACTCGCGGTATTCCAATGCTTCTCCGCGCCATGTGCCACTACGCCAGGCGCTATGCCAAGGTATGGTGTATCGAAAGCGAGAATGCCTTGTATATACGGGAACATGAGCGTCGAATGGTCGGCAAGCGATCCCGTAGAGCCGGTTTGTGAGTTGGACTGTGAATGGATCGGCTGTTCAGCCAGGATGGAGAGGAGCGTCTCAGCCGCCACGATGCCGCCCATCGAATGGCCTACGAGTATCGTGCGCACAGAAGGGTCGACGGTGGGCGACGGCGTCGAATTGGCGACCTCGAGGTCTATGACTTTATTTTGCAGCCATTCTTTGAAGCGACCGACGCACTCGTGCAAGTCGCCTCGCGTCTCAAACCGGGGGTACGTGATGGTGAGGACGGTGACTTTGGGCAGCGCATGCTGGAGGAGCGCCTTCACGTGGCTCGGGAAGGTTCTGAATGTTTCATCTCCACCCTATAGCGCACGTTAGTATCGTTCTCGCATTTGTTCAAATCGCACCGGGCGTCGCATTGCACATGGCTGGGCCTGAGACAGGGAGATACGACCCCAGCGATGACGTAATGAGGGTATCGCGTAAATGACACGTACCTTGAAGCCGTGGATGAAACACAGCAATAACGTCTTCCTCATGGTCCTCGACTATGCTCCTGTGCGCCTGCATGGTGGGGCTGGGTTAGTGGAGGGCTGACGATAAGTCGACTGGGCGGGAAGGCGATTACGTCTGGGGTGCAGCTACCTCTCGCTTACCTGGCAGGGGGGCTGTTGGCCGGAAGGTTCGATTGCCGGAGAGCAACAAGACCGCATGAGAGTAATTTGAAAAGGTTGGATAAATGCGCAGGCAGAAGGAGGATTACATGCGAGGTATTTGGAAAGGTGAGGTAAGCATGCACTTGTAATTCTTCGTTTCATGCAAGCTTTCGCTGCTATGAGTGCCCTTAATTGTGTCCATATATGCTACATGACTACTCCGTGACACATGGTCTCTCTGACACACCCGGCGGTCGTAACCCTTCTCTGCTAATCCATCAATGCGGGTATAGTACAAACAATGCAAACTCCAACGCCATATCGTGAGCCTCTTCGGCAATGCATAAACATAAGGAAAGTGTAGACGGCTGCGCTGCTAACTGCAGGTAAGCAGAACGATGGCTATCGCAGACAGACTTGCTATCGACAGATCCGAAGCTTTGAGCTGCCATGATGCGCCCACTGCAACGACGTCGAACGGTGAGCCACCGCCCGAGTCAGTGTTTGATAGCTGGGCGTTGGGTGCTCGTGTCGGATCCGCCGCCTGCGCAGTGTCTGTAGGTGGCGCGACGGAAGTCGAGAATGTTCCGGTAGCATTCGGATCCAGCGTCAAGCCTCCTGTCGACGAACTTGTACTTGTTGGTTGCGCTGAGGTGGTCGGCTCGTCATCCCCATCGTCCGAATCTGCTGTTGAACTTGATGAAGTCGACGTCGCTTCGATTGCTGAGTTTGTGAAACTTGTAGACGTTAAGACCGCCTGGGTGCTTGTTGCTTGCTCTGATGTCTTTGTGCTTGTCTTCTGTGCAGTCTCGCTTGAGGTCGTTACGATGGTCACTCCTGGACATAGACTCTGGATACCAAGTCCGTTCTGGAAGACGCCAATGATGCTCAACTCGCCCGCATCGACGTCTGCACACTTGTCTTTCACTTCCTCTGCGAGTGCTGAAAGGCCTCGCACGCAGGAAGCGGTACATGTTGCGCCGGATTTGAAGTCATCGGGTGAGCACCCGGCGATGGCCGAGTTGTAGACGGTGTTGCAAGACGTTGGAAGGTTGTTGATCCGCGGAATGAAAGCCGAGAGTGACACTGTTGTTGCTGAGGATATCGACGCAAGCGTGAGCGCCACCAAGGCTGAACGTATTGAGGCGGGTTGCATTGTGTGTGTTGTGTAGGTTTTCGTGAGTTGGGGTCGGCAGACCCGTAGGTCTCGAATGGAGAAAGGACCGTGACCCAGAGTTCCAATGCCAATCTCGAACTTCGACCACGAAGCCTGGATGTCCTAGTGGAAAGATGCCTTCCGGAGGTGGTGAGACGACTGGCGTTTGAATAGGCGGTATGACGTTTTCAAGACAGCGGGATTGTTTGCGTCGTGCGAAGTTTAGAGCGCTGCCGCCTGCCGACTGTACTGAGTATTTTCGCTGTGATGTTCCGCTGACTGCGCGTTGCCGTGGGTGACCAGTTTTCAGAACTCTTGCTGTCAACCTTCTGGGAGAGATGGTGATGCGCCCCACTTCTCATGTATGGGGATGTCGACAGAACTGTTTCGACACAATGGTGTAACGACAGTGCGCAGATATACCAATGATCGCCTTGTCTATACAGAACTATCCAAAAAGCTGCAATAAGGAACGTGAATGACGCAATGTACGAACGAGGGAACAACTGTTGTTTCTTCCTGGCACCGGGCCTGCAAAAGAGCGAATATTTCCGAAACGAACTGTTGGGGAACAAAGACGCACAGCGTTAAGAAGGAAAATGGTTCGCAAAAGAAAGGAAAGGAGAAGAGAGGAGAGCCGCGATCTTCGTGATATTCAGTCGCTCAACAACCAAACTCAGGCAGCGTTGGGACCGGCGGCGGGACCCGCCACATCTTAAGGTAGATCTACAAGGACACCCGTCCTATCCGCACACAGAAGACCCTTACCTTACCTTTGCCTCATCAAGCTCAAGTGGGTAGCCACGAGACGGGCAGTCCTTGTACAGCTATCTGAGTGTCGCAAGTGGCCGTTACTCAGTTTTCTGAAACAACGGGGTAGGCGGTGGTTAGTGTCGATGCTGCGTTGCAGCCGCCCATTGGCTGGGCGAGCCAGCGCAGGCGTTACATGTCGCGACCGCGCTTCAGATGCAGGTACCCGGAGCTGGACAGGAGATGTGTGAGAGGTGTGTGTCGCGCGTGTACTTAATTGAGCTGCCTCGGCGGCTGCGTATGGACTGGCGGGCGAGGCGCGAACCACAATGCCTGAGATGAGACGGTTATGGCGCCTGCATGGCTGTGGCGCGTGTGTGCATTCGCACGTGGAGTTTATGAGCCGAGAAGAGACAAGCTATCAAGATGCGGACTTGGCTTTCTTGGAGTGTACGTATGACGGGTTTGACGTCTGTGTGATGGTTATAGACTCGACAGCGCCTACCTTGATGGCCGCTCTTCGCGCTTTAACTACCTCGTCACCGCTTCCTTGCACGCAAACCTCCATCATCCCGGCACGACCACGAGCCCATATGCGGGCTTCATATAGCAAGACATTTCGCATAATGGCAATTGTTTCATTGTTTCAATCATCTCCTCAGCTATAGTTCCTGACGTTTTTCTATGGTTTCCATACCCGCGCTGACCGCGTCCAGCATCCTTGCCATGCGCGGAACTTCTTGGACTTCTTACTCCATAACGATCACACTCCTGAACCTCACCTTTCCACTTTCCATGTGCTTAACAGCATCCTCTACTTTGTCGAATGGGAACTTCTCGACCATGCACTTCACGCCCTGTTTCTCCGCAAAGTCAATCGCTTCCTCGCTGTCCAGCGCGTGTCCGGATGGCCATCCATGGACCGATTTGCCCTTCATGATTAGGCTCACGGTGTTGACTGGAATATCGCCCACGGGAGCAAGGACAAGCAGTTTGCCCAGAGGTCCAAGGCCATCAACCAGCGGCCCTATGATCTGCGGGTTCGGTGCCGTCACAACAATGAGGCTTGCGCCACCCATCTTTTGTAGTGCCTCTGCCGCATTCTCTTTTGATGTGTCGATGTAGTCGTTTGCGCCAAGCTGGGCAGCGAAGTCCCTTTTGCTATCCGAAGAGGATACAGCGACCGTGCGGTACCCCATCTTGCGGGCGTATTGGAGTGCCAAATGACCTAGGCCACCAAGACCTTGCACAGCGACAGTGTCGCCCTGTTGAATGTTCATCTTGCGGATGCCATTGAACACTGTGACGCCAGCGCAGAGTAGGGGAGCGTATTCGGCGGCATTGGCATCGGCGGGAATACGCACTGCAGCCTCGCTGCGTAGAGTACAGTACTCAGCATCTGATATCACTCATGTCAGTCCATCATCTTGCATATCTCAGTATTTGCCAACAGAAAGGTAAACTTACATCCACCATCCCTACTAACCCCATTAACAAGCTCATTCTCGCACATCTGGAACATCCCTTTATTGCACGATTTGCAGCTCCCATCATGAGCACCATGCCATCCTCCGCCGACACGGTCTCCAATCTTCCACTTCTTTTCGCCATCACCAACTGCGATTACCTTTCCAATGACTTCGTGTCCTGGGACGCGAGGGTAGACCTCCCCCAGATGGCCCTGCTGCATAAAGCTATCCGAATGGCAGATGCCACATGCAAGTACCTTGATCAGGACCTCCCCCGACTTGGGCGCAGAGATGGGAACATCTTTGATCGTCCAAGGTGCACCTTTCTTCTCAATCACGACTGCGCGACAAGAGGAGGGGATGTCGGATGAAGACATGATGTTGTTTGGTGTATTAGTATACCGAGAATTGGCAGACAAAGACGAAATAAATAAGACTTCTTGAAGCTTGATGTGGATTTGCTTAAAGGTAAAATAGTAAAGCCGGCGATCAGCTGTGATGTCAACGAGCTGAGGTAGGCGCGACCTAGCCCTCTTTTGTCTCTACCTCCGTCATGCATGTGTGCATACATCATCGTTATCACCTATCACCGTTCGTTTTTCCCCGCATCAACGGACGACTAACACTTGGATTCGTCCTGGTCGACCAAACATGCTTCCGCAACATCCCGTACTACGCTCTGTGCACGATGATTAGAAACGCAATTCAAGTATGGCAACGTGTGCCGCAGTTGTCCGTACCTTCCCAACTACACCACCACCCCGCACATCCGCTGCGTTGATTGGTCTGGGCATACTTGCTCCTTGCACACCGATTGCAAGATGATGGTACGCCCAACAGGCTTTACGCTAACGCCGACGGAGCCAAGAGTGTTGTTTGGCTGTGTTATATACAGTCATGTGCGTAGTCAGCGAGGTGCAGTGGACAATTTCCGCGTGGTGCTAGATTGGCGTGGACTTTGCGGTTTTAGTCGCGTTGTAGTCATGCCCAACATGGAGAAACATGCAACCAAGTCTTGGAATGTGCAAGGTAAAACGTGTTGGGGTATCATTTTAATGCTGTCTAACCTCCATTCGGGACTCATTGAACACCTTACCAGGCGTCAAAGTTGCCAAAACCTCCAGTCTTAGCTTTCTTCTTGACGGGCGCAACATCCTCTTCGTCATCCACATATCCGACTATCTCATCGTCACCCTGATTTTGTATCTCTTGTTTCGCGGCTTGAAGATACTTGCCTACGCCGAGACCCTCACCGGTGCCGTTTTCCACAGTACCATCTGCGCGTATGCGCTTGCCTGTCCATGTTGTCTTGTCATCTGCTGTGCCGCCTTGCCGCTTAATCTCCTCAGCCTCCAGGTCTTTGTTCTCCTTGTCTTTGCGCTCCTTCTGCCATTCTTCGAACGGGTCGACAAAGACTACTACGTCTAGTATCTCGATGTCATCGACAGGCTTATCCTTCTCGCCTACTTCTGCGACCTCCATAGATCGTAGTGTGGTATCTAAACCACCAACTACTCGTGCGAAAATCGTGTGTTTGCGGTCGAGATGCGGCACGGCGCGGTACGTGATGAAGAACTGGCTCGTGTTGGTGCCCTTGCCCTTGTTCGCCATACTAAGTACGCCTCTGGCGTTGTGCCTCTCCGGACCCTCGAATTCATCTTCGAACGGCTTGCCCCATATGCTTTGCCCGCCTCTTCCGGTGCCTGTTGGATCACCACCTTGTATCATGAAGCCTTTGATGTTCCTGTGGAAGATTGTGTGGCTGTAGTATCCTTTCTGTGCCAGCTTGACAAAGTTCCATACTGCGCGCGGTGCGTATTCGGGGAGGAGTTCGACGTTCAGGTCGCCGAGTGAGGTGGAGATGCGTGCATATCCCTTGTTCTTGATTCGCTTCGGCTTGAGCATATAATCTTCGTCTGACAGGAGGGCGCGTTCGCCGGAGGTATGCGGTGTGACACCGGTCGAGGTAAAGGACGCAGCCGCTTTACCAGAGGTATATACAGCGGCATTGTATGCTGGTTTCTTGGGTTCGGTGGATGTCGATGCTACTGTGCCGTTCCTCGGTAGGTTGGCGAGCGCTTTCGATGTGATTCCGCTTTGCTCCTTGATCTTCCTGTTCTCGCGCGCCTTCGCAACTGCTTCTTTCGCCTTGAGAATCTTCGCGGCGTTGCCTAGCGCCTCTTTATTCACACCAGTCTCCGCCTCTGCCACCACTGTGTCTCCGTCCTTCACATGCTTGTATGAGCTGAAGTCTCTTGACTCAATGCTCTGAGGGTCCTGAAGCGTGATGATGTCCTTCCGTGTAAATGGGTCGTCGCTGACCAGATCCTGCCAATTCTTCGCCTTGATGTTCAGTCTCTCAACCGTGTCCCATGCGAAGACATTGCCGCTCTTCCTCAGCGCAACGATGTGGGTGTTGTCTGTGAAGACCTTGTATGTGACCGGATCAACGTATTCGCCGTCCTCGTTCTTGGTAAAGTTAAGCGTGATGAGGTCGGCACGCTTCAATGGCGTTCCGTCGACGGGATTCGTGTCGGGGTGTTTCGATAGCCATGTAAGGATGTGGGTGAGATCGAAGATGGTGCCCGATGATGTGCATACGGGATCTGTAAAGGGCTGGAGCGAGACGGCGCAGTAGTTGAAGGGTAGGCGCCTGAAGGTCGAGGATAGGCCGGCAGCGGAGGCTCGATTTGCGCTGTTTGCACCGCGCGCATTACCGAACGCATCCGAAGAGGACCACTCGGAGTGGGTGATGTATAGCTTGTCGGTTCCTTTGCCCATGTCGAATATGCTTAGCAGAGGAATATGTTGTTCAAGAGACGCTGCGTGAGGCGCAAAATGTCTGTAGGAGTGACGCGCCGGCGATCAGCGACCCTAGCGCGACTCCACACTTCAGGATCCACTCCATCCGTAGGTCTCTTACATGTTATATACAGCAGCTTTACCACTTCAGAACAAGTCTTTACACTGAGTATATACCCAGAGTTACTAAAATGAAGTCTAGGAGTAATATCATGGGTCATGGTGTGGACCGAGGTTTCTATTGGCTGTATCGTATCGCAGGCGCTCAGCCGAGCACACAGTAAGCAGGCTGCCGTCTTCTGCGATGGCGTTTCAGCCTCGTCGACCCCTTCTCAACGATACTTACGGGCGCTTTATGTAAAGGCATTGGTTGCTCGTCATCATCAACGTGACATCTTATGACGGGGTTAACCCGTCGCAGAAAAGAAAGTAGTACATGGGTTTGCACTACCTACAACGAGAAAGAACAGTAACCACGTGGTACGTATGAGCAGATATGCCGGGAGTCTACATTGCTGCCAAAATCTCCTATTTTCCTATTCCCATACCCATGTAGGCTGCAGAGCAGCACGAGACCTACAATGCTTACACCTACCCAGATATATAGTTCCGACCTTACATAGGGTAATTCGAGATCGAACACCCTAAAACGGGCTATCTCCTCGCAATGTCAACAGTACACCAGTCCGCTCCATTGGATCTCAGACCTACTTTCAATACCCGACTGCTCAAACTTGAGTTAGAGTCTTCGGAAGTCGCGCCCTCATCGACTATCTCTCTTGGACTCCATGTAACATCGCTGGCCAATGCACCTCCGTATACCGCCGTCTCATACGTGTGGGGATTGCCATCTCCCACGAAACAGATCTTGCTCAATGGACAGCCCTTTACTGTGCGCCAAAATCTCTGGGATCTCCTCAGCCGCCTACGGGACGTGAAATACGACGATTACCTCTGGATCGACGCTCTATCTATCGACCAAACCAACGACAAGGAGAAGAATCACCAAGTCGCCATGATGGGGTCCATATACAAGCAGGCAGAGTTGACGATAGCTTGGTTTGGTGCCGCGATTAAGGACGCAGCAAAAGACATCAAGCGCTTGAAGAGGATGCATTCGGAAAAAACCGTCCCGGTCGCAGGCTTGGCTCCGTACGCTGCAGGACTCAATTACCTCTTTTATAACCCGTACTGGACTCGCACATGGATCCTGCAAGAATATGTTCTCTCGACCGACGTCATTGTCATGTGTGGAAAATGTACCATTACAACTGCGGCATTGGAATGGATCGCTCATAAATGGGTGGAATCTTCTAGCGATGACTTGCCGCTTTTCAGGGGAGACGCCTGGAAGATAATAACCCAGACAAATGCCTCCAAAAGGTCCGATGGATCCACCTCTCGGAAGCGCTTGTCTCGTCTAACGTCCCTCTTGTCTATGACAGAGCAAACTGTTTGTGTGGACCCACGCGATCGTATATATGCACTACTTTCCTTGCTCTCTAAGCGAGAACGCGAGATCTGGGCTATCACACCGGATTACGAAAAATCTGCCCAAACACTGTTTGAGGACCTTTGCAATGTTCTCCGGAGTCGTACTCTAGATATTGTTAAACATAGATCGGATGTGTGGTTTGTGGAGCAAAGGTTGCGTGATATCTTGCTCTTGTAGCACAATTCCAAGGGAGTTGGTGAATTCAAGTCAGCTACTGTTTCTCTTGTGCCATTGAAGACTGTTACGTGTCCGTCAGGACCTTTTTCCTATGCCTGCCAGCGATGACCATCAGTCCCCTATCAGCTAATTGTTCACTCACCTAAATCACACATGCAAGACCAAGAAGTTTTAAACCAGACTCGCTCACATTCATCTATATACAAAATCAGACAAAACCCACGAAAGAGAAAAGATGCTCCTATCCAAAACCGTCAAGGAACAACTCCCCCTTCCGCAGTCCCGTCCCCCATTCCATCCATCTAATTACAGTTTATATAAACAAACAACTTAAAACAGCTCAAGTAAATGAGTGTATGGTAGGTCAGTTATGTACAGAACTAAAGGAGTGGCACCAAGACCCATCAAACATGGATCTTGGAAAGCCGAGCTCACTTTATTCATACTCGTATGTACTTTGAATATCTCTTTCTCTTTTTCTCTAGGAATTGCCCAGCAAAACCACAAAGTTGTTCTTCATCTCTTCCTTGTTATTGTCATTATATTATATCCAACTCTTGTTTGTCGCGTTATCCGAGATTGCTATGTGTTGTCGTGGGCCGATGTAGAGAAAGCTTGATGGTGAGAAGCTTACTCGGGCTTTCCGAGGATACCGCGGGCCATGTGGCGCTTGCGGAGGTTGTACTCGACCGCGCGCTTCTTAGCGGCAGCGCTCTGGGTGAAGGCAGCAGAGCCACCGAAAGGACCAGCGAGGGCAGAGTTCTGCATGCGAACGATGCAGACGTTGGTGGCGCCACCGGCGGTACCGGAGCAGGTCATGCCAGCGGGCATCTGGACCTTGACGGGGAAGTCCTTGACGGCGGCGGCGGAGAGACCTCCAATACCGATACCGGGGACGTTCTGCATGACTGTTGCGTCCTGGAAGGCGGCGGGGTCGGTACCAGCGGAGGTGGCGTCGATCTGGGCGGTCAAGGGACCGGCACCGTCCTGGTTGACTTGGTGGAAGGTCATGGTGATGGTGCCGTCGTCGGCAGTGGTGGGCAGGCCAGAGGTGGCTCCGGTACCTGCGGCTTTGGCGACACCACCCTCAGTTCCTGTGGACTTGGTGCCAGCAGAGGCAGCACCAGCGCCACCAGCGCCACCAGCGCCACCACCGGTAAGAGCATCGAGGAGGCCACGCTTGGCACCAGCTGCGGCACCGGCACCAGCACCTCCAGCACCTCCCATGAACATGGCGATAGCGGCACTAGCGTCAACGGCACCGCCACCCTGGGTGCGTCCAAGAGCAGAGGCCTTGCCACCCATCTCGCGGGTGCGGATGATGGAAGTATCAGCCTCGGAACCGCAGAGAGGAGAGGCGCAGTCACGAGGAGTACCGTCCTGGACGGACAGACCAGGCATGGTTACACCATTGGCACCCTGGATCTCAGAGACGACACCGTGGGCCTGGACGGAGGCGGCAATAGCAGCAATGGCGGCGAGAGAGTAACGCATCTTGATGATAATAGAGTTGGTTGATAAAAAAAGTTTAGAAAGAGTCGAAGATTGTCGAGAGTATTGAGTGAGAAAGATGTAATGAGTAGTGAATTAAGCAAGCGACCGGCGCAAGAAAGTAATTAGAAGGATGGAAGGAAGAGAAGAAAGCGAGTCTGGTTGGTTTGAATGTTGAGTGATGGTGATATCGAAACTTGGAGGACGAGCAGTGAGGTTTATATACAGCTTGCTGGTGGTGGCTTGTCAGCGTTCCAAAGCTTAGCATAGACACAAGCATTCAGCGGTCTGCGTCTCCGATCCACCAAGGCAAGATAGTGCCCGCGACCCCTTGCTGCCATGGCCAAACACGATGATGGCCGTCGAGGGAGGCTGTGATACCGAGAGCACAGACCCTGACCGGAGAGCTGAGACGATGCTGGTCGAACGATGGTCATGGTTACTCCACTAAGGCCAATCCCGCTAGGATATCCACTGCGGGACGATCATCTTCAGAAGCTTGGTCTGGGATCTCCCCAAGGCTGCTTCGGAACAATGATGTCGCGTTGTGGGTGTGCGCATTGATGTTTGGCATCTGAGGAAGCATGTCTGCAGATGTGTATCAGCAGCGAGGTTTCAATTTAGGCTCGGCGATCGAAACAGCATCAAGGGAACACTGTTTCGTTCCTGAGTGCTCGCTTCCGCCTTCTCATGATATCGCTCGGAATTACGCAGACATTTGCAGGTCGTGTTCATACAAAAAGTAAGCGACGAAATAACATTCCTTGCCGTTATCGGCAACTATTGACCGCTTTGTCGTTCGCGAACGGTTAGCTAGCAATCCGGCCGAGGTCAGATGTCGATGGTTGTTTCAGTAGCGGGTTTTGAAACTCTAAAGTTTGGCGTCGTTCGAGGGTTAGCGCGTTGCTTCTTGCCTCAGCAGCAGTCCCGGATATTCCCGAAACCTTCGAGCCGCCTCAAGCACGACCATGACTTGACTTTGACTGCTCCAACTGACTCCACTGCAGCACTGTAATAGTAAAGAAGGTTGGGACGACAGCTTCAAAAACGCGGAGCGGTGAGATTGTCGAACAACAGGCAGGTTCTGGACGCGGATCTTCATGCTATCGGCTTCCAGTGTTTCGCTATGCATGTCGGTCACAGCAGAGCTTGCCACATCTGGACTGTACGGAGCAGTGGTCGCAGTAGCTGCATCGTAAGGCAAACGCTGCAGTAGCGGAAACGGACCGGCCAACATCGAAACATTGATATCAACGACACTGGCCATCTACGAAGGGGAAGACCTGAATCAGCGTATCAATACACCCTGCTTCACTCTAGTGATCAGTCCTATCGACCTCTAACATCCGCAGCGTCTTTGTACTCGACCTGACCGTCCTGCCTTCTTCGACTTCTTCTTGGTAAGCTTCTAGTTACTAGCGAACTGTCCTTGTGCCCAAGCCTTGAAGTCCCTAACCTCTTTTATCCATACGTATCGAATACATATTTCCTGAAGCTCATAGAAGAGCGCGCCCGCTTCAACGAAGCCCTTGGTGATGGAGCTCTTGATGAACAGCAGCAGTATCATGACAGCGCGACGCTGCGCATCCTTTCCGTATTCGACGATCGGGGTACCGTTGCCGACACCATTGGTAGTGCCGTTGATGGCTCCGTTGGTAATGCCGTTGACCGTGCCGTTGGTCGTTGTCTCCTCCTCCTCCTCCGGGGGAGGGGGCGCCTCCATCTTCTCGATAAGCCGCATTGCGTGCTGTATGAAATGGGTGCTAACGCTTTGGCCGTTAATGCCGTTTTCCTCGAAGGTGTGATTGGCGTGTAGTCTGGTGAGGAAGTCTAGGGACGATAGCTCGAGTGGGAGATGCGCGAGTTCTTGCACGGCTTGTTCGGGATCGTATCTCAGCTTCCGGATTATAGCTTCGTCCCATGACTGTGAGCTGTTAACCTCTTGCGCCTGAGTCTGGTGCAGTGACTCCTCATCTTCCACTGGTGCTATGGGCTTCTGGACGGGCTGTGCAGGAGCTCGTACTTTCGGCTCTGGCAGCTCGTCCCAAACCTCTGTCTCAACAAGCATGCGCATATACGGTTCCAGATCGAAGGTTGCTAGTGGAACACCATCCATCTTAAGGCGGTCCAGTATCAAGTTGGGTGAGGCTTTGGATAATGATGGCTCCCACAGCAGCAGGCCCATGATGTATTCAGCCCTCGTCTTCCGAGTTTCCGCAGCAGTGACGGTGTCGTTGCCAGTGGCCTTGTCTTCCTGCCCTTCGGCTGCCTCGTTGTTGGTTTCCATGAGAGCCTCTACCCAGTGTGACAAATAAGTCTTGAATCTCATAGGTGTCGCCTCGGCCAGCTTCCACAGTTTGTACTCGCAGTTCAAGATGAGCCTGAGCACTGGTAGAGTCGGCTCAAGTTTGGCCCGCTGGACGTACGCATCAAGCGTGTTTTTGACTCGAATCGACTCGATGAATGAAGTAGGGTCCGCGTTTAGCGAGCGGATGATTTTGTCGAGCTGGCGGATCGCGCCATCGTGGTTAAAGGCTGAGCTGCTAAGCGCGTTGATTTCGGCATCTGTGAGCGTGGCAGTCATGAAGCTCATACTGGGCGGTATTTATATCGCGCCTTGCGCTTCGAACGATAGGAATTCGGTGAGTGATACGTTTTAGAGTGGAGGGAATACATAAGGGTCGAAGTGGGCGCGAGGTGTGACGGTCGTGAGTGCTGGTGCGGAGCGCGTGAACCTTGGAAAGAACGGCGATGCACGTGCCAAGCATAGCATCGTGCCTTTGGTTCAGCCGCACATCGGACTGGAGAAGGATAACACAACGACTGAGTGGTTGTCATGAGATTTGTTTGCTAATTCTGAAATACGTTGGTAATCATGAGCTGCAGATCGTATTCGCGACATTGAGCCCTGGTACGACCACCAATGCCTCGAATGTTTCGTGCGTGTTTGTCCTGATTACTTCTAGCCGTTTCGACTAATCTAAAGTTCGCCAATTCACAAATGGCATACATACTTGCACATCAAAGCAAATGATAAATGAGGTTTGCAGAATATTTGATTATGTTCTCATTACAGCAGGCTCGTAGGAACGCACCAGGATGCACGCGAGGAAACCTGAGATTGTCCCAGAAAACCAGGACGCCGAAACCTGAAGCTATTCATGACATTACAGACGGAGCCAAGCCAAGACCACCTACACCCAACCGGAAGCTCCGGGATCCCTAAGCGACGCCATGTGAAGTGTATCCTGGCATCAAAAATATCGGTGATTGTGGGGTGTTGGTCAAGCTCTGACGTTGGCGGAAAAAGAGGAAGATGGGTATCGTGATGTGACGTTGTTTGTCAAGCCGTTATCGCGGCATCGTGAAAGGTGTTTGCGCGCCCCCGCTAAAACTTGAATATGATGTACAGAGCGTGGATAATACCCTGGGAATGTTGTTAGTGACATGTTGGTGGGTGATGATGCTTGTACCGGAACTCACCGGAATGTAACCAAGAACGGTCAACAGGATGTTGATGAGGAAATCAGCGTTGCATCCGCGCTCAAGGAAGACACCCAGAGGAGGCAGGATGATGGCAAGGAGGATCTTGCAGATATCGCTGGTGATTGTTAGTATCGATGCTTCAGGCAGGCTGGTGGCTGCTTGAGCGGACGTACCTGGCGGTGAAAGGCATGTTGGATGTGTCGGTGGTTGTTCTTGCGTGTGGTGGTTGGAAGTGCTGGTGGTAGAGTGTGGGCTGATGATGTGTTGATTTGACAAACAGCGGGAGTCTTGCTTAGTATTTATGGCAGGTGACGAGGGCAGCTCATGACCATAAGAGTGACGTAGCCGGTGAAATTTAGCAGGGATGGCAGGCGATGCCGCGTACCCGCGCCGGTTTTACGCGCCACACCTTGTGGCTGGCGTCATAGGTGTCCGAGTGACCCGACAGAAAGCAAGTTGCGCGATCAAACTTCCAAGCAGAGTTTCCACGTCGAGATTGCCTGTCAAGCCCTGCGAGTGACGCATGCCGCGTTCTGAGGCTGGAGAAATTGCGGGATGCTGCTTGGTCCTTCCCGGACTCACCTGCGGCCGTGTTTCCGAGCCTCATTTGCCAGACGTACATGTCTCTAGACGGTGAGATTGGGCTCTTGGCTGGCAAGGCCTGGATCGCCCACCAGCCACAAGAGTTGCGCAAGCTTCATGGCCTTGTACCGTCGATCCACCTCACGTCACAGCAGCCGCCCGCTATGATGCCGCTAACATGATGTCAAGCCTCACCATGTGGCGTACGCTTCTATTCATAGTTAGGCGTGGCTCAAACCTGGGGGTTAGGTCAAACTACTGGAGCTTTCGTTCCACCTTGGCTGCGCCTGTTGAATCTCCGTGGATTGGCGTCAAGCGACGCATCCGCATTTTCATCGTCGAAGACTCTAGCAATGCGTAGCTCAGTTTTGCACGGATAGATCGCCGGGCAGCTTGGCATGTGCCTGCGTGGACATGCGTCGAGGAAGATGCCGGTGTGTGGCCGGCAGCGGAATCGATCGGAATTGGTTTGCGCATCGGTGGAAAGCTTACAGTGTGTGAATAAGCACAGCACATGGAAGAGCTGCATCACAGCACCAGTTGTTTACATTGAAAACGGACCATGACTCTCGTCTGATACCACAATCGCACCCCATTCAAGGGAAAATCGGATACCTTGGAGCCTACATTGGCGTTAGGTCATCTACCTCGCGTGCTTTCATCTTGATGTAGGCTGCCACGCGGGTGACAAAAAAGAAGCGACTCTAAAATCTCTGCTTTCTGCAGACTTAGAACAGCGCAGTAACAATAGTGATTTAAGATTTTAATAAGGTAGAATTAAATAGAATCTCTTCTTCTTTAATTCTAGTTATCTAAAATCTTTTATTCTTCTCTAAGTATTATGTAGAGAAGCTATAAAGAAGAAGTATACTACAAAGTTCTGCTAGTGCTCGCTTATTTTGGTGACGATTTAAGTTTTGGAGTCGGCTCTTTTTTGTCTACCGCGTGGCTGCACACCTGTTTAGGCTTTTCCTTGTATGAGGTGATCGCGAAAATCGACCCGTCAACACTTGAACATTGCACCCACCCAAGCTGCAGTTATAGTGATTCTATCTAGTGTATTCGGGACATATGACGAAGTTCCTTTGCCTTAGGTTTAGCATCGCGCGGAAAATAAACCATTCGCATTCATGTTTACAATCTGCCAGTCAAAATCAACACATGAAATATGCACACGAAGACATGCAACAAAGCAGACAGATCTCCAAGATAACATAACATCATTCATCGGGTATCATTCCAAAAGTCGTCATATGTGCCCAAGACTTCCCTCCCAAAATCATCCCTCATATCGTGACAGTCTAGCACTCAGGACCTCTTCTCAGCCTCAACCTGCTTCTGCAAATCCGCCTCAACACCCCTCTGCCTCGCCTTCCCCTCATCGTGCTGCTTCTGCGCCTCCTCCTTCTGCGCCGCATTACCCGTCAACCCAGCAACGGCACCACCCACGGCACCACCAAGCCGATCACCAATCCCTTTTCCGAGATCGTTGACCTGGCCCGCAGCTTCTTGCTCCTTGCCCTCCTTGTTCTGTTGAATGCCCTGCTGCTTGAGGCCTTCGGCGCCGGTGAGGCCACCGAGCGCTTCTTTCGCGGCACCGATGTTTTGGTTCCACGAGCCTTGTGTGCGGTCTGAGTTGTCTTTTGCGACGCCGCCAGATGGGGTTACGGAGAAGGGTCCTGCTTTGGCGGCGGAGTGGGAGAGGTCGTGTTCGGCCGCGGCGGCATCTTTGCGGTTTTCGCCTTGGGCCTGGGGTGGGTTAGTAGAGGGCTTTCAAGGGGGAGAATAGAGACCGACCTTATCTGCAGTGTTGCCTGTGAGAGAGCCGATGGCGCTTTGGACTGCGCCCGTGGCTTGGTCCAAATAGGACTGAGGGGTGGAAGTCGCGTCCTTGTTTGAAGACATGATTTTATTGTTGGTTTTGTGGTGGATTTGAAGTAATGTAATTCAGGTTAATAGAGCTGCAGCTGTAGTTGTAGCAAGATCGTGGTGATGATAGCTTGTTATATATCAGTTTGTTTGTCTGGAAGTTCGAGTGGAGCATGTGAAGTATGACGTCACGCCCCACGTTGGGCACTCTCGCGACGCGCAACTTGGCTCTGCGCGGGAGATCTGACGAAGGTGGCGCATTGAAGATATGAGACGTACGACGCTCGTGGTGTGTTTCACAACCTCGTGGGTCTTGATGACATCGCTTTGGGGATCAACTGATCGTTTTCACCTGTATTATGATGCAATGCAGACATTTGACCGAGCAGACACCGACCCTCTCAGACATCCATGGCTGCTGAGATTGCATATGCGCGAGTCGAGAGTGTAGTTGCTAACATGGATATCTATTTGCTCGCACTACCGGGTCGAGAAGGGTATGTTCGTTTCAATTCCAAACGCCTGAGAATATGCTTTTCGGGTAATCGTGTTCTCATCCATCACCAATGACAGATACCTCCCTCGCTATCATCGACACTCCAGGTTCCTGCAAGACCGACAATCTCAACCTGCCCATTGAAGGCTTCTGATATCTTGCCTAGCCGGGCAACGCCATCATCAACGCCAAAGGACGCTCCAATCTCTGCAGGCCCGTTGTTGAGCAATCGCTTTGCCCATGCATCGATTGCAGGCTCGCCAGTCTCGTCGCGTGCTTGTTTCAGGAAAGGAATCAAAGCTGTGCCTCCTGTGCCACGAAGTTTCTTACTTCCCGTGCGAGCCATGGTGTTGGCCAAGTTGACACGTTGGGTGTGTGCTGGCTTAGGTGACAGCGATCGCGAGGTCGACTGCGTCTCGCGCGATTTGATGATAATGTACCGTGATACAAGCTGGATATGCTTATCGCGCAGACTCCGCAGCATGGCTAGGCATGCGTCGTAAGATGTCGTCAGAGCCCGATCTCTGCGATTCGATGTGACGTACTCTCGAATGTTTGCGACGCTCTCCATATGTTCTAGGAACCTGCGATGAGGCCCTGGCATGTAGTTGCGCATGTCCTGGATGAAGCCATGCGAGGGTCCGGATGGAGTAGGCTTTCCTGTGTCATCCCTCTTCTCACCGGTAGGTCTGTGTTCCACTCCAAGGACAATGTCAAAGAACTGGATAGTGGAGCTCTGCGCGTTACTGCCGCCGCTGAACTGTACATATGGTTGCTGGCCGGTACCGTCGTCAAACATGACACCATTTGGAAGACCAGCGTCCACCATGTTCTTACTTCCAGCCAGGTAGGGTCGGATGCGGTGGTAGAAGACGTGTGGATCGCAGCTCTCGTACATGCGCTCCAATAGGGCGCCCAGCTCATCGAGTCTCCCTGCGAACTTTTGAAGACACTCCACGACTGTCTTGCTATCGTTGTTCCTAGCGGCCTCAATAGCACGGATCATCATTGGAATGACCGGTCCAGCTCTTGCTTCAATCGCTACGGACACTAGGTAGAACCAAGATTCGTCCGTTGAGCCAGTGAAGGTCATTTGCGTTGCGAGGTTGTCCAAGGTGTCTGCAGGTTCCCAGTCGAACAGAGGTCGCCAGTTCCACAGGCAGACGGCTGCAAAGGTTGCGACTGGTGGGAGCTCCAAGTGTCTACATGTCTCCATGAACGGTATCGAGATGGATGGTGGTACAATCTGGACGGGATCGTTAGCTACGCATCGCTTTGGAACAAAGGGATTCTCAAGGCTCACATCAGATGGTCCGTCACCGCCCCAGATGTATGCATGGGCAATGAACCCCAAAATGGAGTAGGCTCTCCTCCACTCAGCTTCTGTGAGAAGGAACTGGGTCCCCAGTACTGGTAGTGTGTCGACTATTCCACGTAGCCGCTTGGCGAGAATCAAGCTTTGGAAGTTGCGTACGATTGTCTCCCATGGTTGGTAGTAGCGATCCGGTAGGACATCGAGCGGAATTTCATCGGGCAAGAAGCCGTTCCGAGGCGAGATGTCGTAATCGGCCAACTGAGGCAGAGTCGGAAGCATTGTGATGGTAGGCGGGGACGAAGTTTGGGTGTATTTATTGTTAGAGGGATGGAGGTGTTCTGTTGTGCTCGGTGGTCGTGATGAAGCAGTCGGATGTGTTCAGACTTGGTGCGCAGGTGTCGCGTGATGGGAACGCAGTCGGGGCTAAGTACAACTTGACCAGCGGCCGTGAAGGTAGTCGCCACCAACAATTACCCCGGGGTGATTGATCAAGGGATTGCCAAATCTTTTAAGGAACGACCAACGGAGGGTGGGGTAACTGCGCGGTACTTGAGTGTGGGCGAAAGGAAACTAGGCGCGTCTGGTAAGTTGTCTCGGAGGTGGAACCCAGGCACCAAATGAGTTGGTTCCGAGTTTGGGGAGCCCAGTGCTAGAGGGGTCTTTGCGGAGACGCGGACGGTGGGCTAGAAGACAATGGTGAAGAGCTGACTCGATTTAGCAACTGCAACACGAACAGTAGTAAAATGGTCGGGGAAGTGGCGTGAGAGAACAATGAGCATTATATTTGCCTTCCGGCCGCGGCTGCGAACCTTGGTGGATTATGTCAAAGAAGCAGGCCGAAACGCGTAGTGCTCAGTAATTGCCTAAGAGAAATCTGCGAGCCGAGTGCTCCGCGCAATCGGTTTCGTGGGCGTTACCTTGGGTCACATTAGCAATCAATTCACTCATGGATTCCATGATTCTACTATAGCGGAGGTAGCGCGGCTGGCCGACGGGCTACTAGATGTCCACACTAGCGTAGGTGCCCTGCATGAAACGGCTGGCTGCCGAAGTCGGGCAATCGGCCGTTGGGAGGAACACGGGTTAAACCCGCAAATAGAGGCCGGTGCCATAGAATGTGAATGCTGAATGATGGTTTTTGCCTCTTGTGATGAGATCACGACACGACAACCGAATCTTCGAGGACGGAATCGTACAGCCAATCCAGCCTCACGCACCGTCGCCAACCCCGCAAAATTCCCGTTCCTGTACGCCGACGCTACTGCAGTGGATTCAAGCTAAGAGTGCAGATCAGGGACCGCATGTTGACTATTGAGTTGTATGTACATATAATGAAGTGGTCCGAAATGCGACGGTAAGCGTTGTTGTATACGCAAGTTTTGGTGTGCAGTGTGAAAGTCGTGATGATTTTAGATGAGCGTCACCAAACGCTACACCATCGATGAAGAAAGCGGAAAGGAACAGCCGTGGGGTGGATGATGAATACCACTTCTGCGCCCGCTTCTCTCCGATATTCTACGACTACTGGCCCTCTCTCCAAGGCATCCTTTCAACACCCCTCACCCACCTCCGTCTCCTCCACTCGCCCTTACGACTCGGTGCATGGCTCTCCCACGCCCGGCGCAGAACCTCCTTTTCTTCATCTCCAATGTCTCTGCTACTTCCCTTTGATCCGCTCCGCTTCTTGAGCTTCGCCTTTGCGGCGCTAGCCTTCTCTCCTTCGCTCTCAAGGACTTCGTAGTGCAGATCTGTCACCCATCGCTCACCCTCGACCTCGACCTCTACGCCCGTGACACAGCGATCCTCAACCCATTCGCGAGACAGCAGATCAAGCGTCCACTTTTTATCACTCCAGCGCCAGCCACGCGGCGGAAGCACATCTTCGAAGAAGGCTGTACCACGAGGTCTGTCGCCGCTGATTCTAGAAGGCGACAAAGGCGAGTAAGGCGATGGAGAGAACATGAAGCCTTCGTACTCGCCATTTTCGTCATGTAGAGCGCGGTGTTGAAGTTCGAATATCTCTACCTCGCGTGTCTCCTGAGACGTCTCCAGTTCGATGTCTGCGCGTGAAATGGTTAGGAGGAACGAACGACTTTCGTGCTCTGCATCCGAGATGAACTTTTCGGTTTCGGGCGTTGTAAGGAGGTCTTGGACATTGGGATGTCCCAACGCTGTCAAGGTGTATCCAAGGACGAGGAATATTGCGCGCCACGGTAGTAGATGCGCCGATATGAACAGCAGCACCGATACAACGAGCAGAATGAGGTAGAGCATTGATGAGAGGTTCTCGTTTTGGAAGTTGGTAAGCGGCGTGATGAAGCTCAGTATAGCGTCGTGCCCGCGGCTAAAGTCCTCCATGCAATTCTGCAGATCGCGCATGTTGCGGAAGAAGTCCTTGCTGAACTCGGGCGCAGGCTTGATCGTCTTCGCATCGGCCAACGGTGGTCCTCCCAAGCTTCCCCTCCATAGATCGCCGTCTACATCTACCGTGTTCGTCATGGGCTCCGGATGGCGGGTCAGATATGCAGGAACCATGACGAAGAACATGCCACATGCTAGCGGGAGTACAGGTACAAGATACGGATTGACGCATACGAAGGTCCAGACGAAGAGAAACGAGAGAGTTTGCGTAGGCTGGGCCCAGCTGAACAGACGAATGAGGCGATTTTGAGCAACAAAAGCAACGCCGATGCGCGAGTTAAAGCGACGGAAGTTGGAAGACATGGTAGGGATGCTGAAGTTGGGTCGAGCAACATAGCTTCGAGAGCGCCGGTCCTTGATGTGTGGTGTGTTCCCGCTTGGTGTCGAGGCTGAGTCTGGAGGCGAGCCGTCAGAGAGGTCTTCCGAGGGCAACACTTGTGCAAGTAGCCTATAGAATCAGCTCTATTCATCACTTGTTGCACACTACTTTTGTAGTAGAGGGTCGTTCGGGATGTTCAGCTTGTACAGCAACATCTGAGTTTCGGATAACTTACATGTTCATCATCTTGTCTCCCACCCTACTACTCGACTCGCGACTTATGTTATCACCTAGCGACTCCAATTTGTCTTTGAGCTTGCTAGCCGACAGACGGCGCGAATGAGGCCTCGCTGTGGTGGGCGTGCCATCGTTCGATGCATGTTGTACTTGGACTACCGGAATGGGCGTGCCGCGGTTCACCAGCGAGTCCGAGTTGTCTGAACCCATGGCGGGGCCTGCAAGGTGATTGTCTTGCTCCTCGTCAGGCAGGCGACCAGATTGATCTGAATCGGAGGTGGTAAGTCGGTCTCAGAGTGTGATGAGGGAAGTCACACTGGTGTTGCGTGGTGGTGGAGGTAGGCGTGTCATATGTGGCTGAGTAGTGAGTTCCTAATACGTGTAGACGTCGAGTAACTGCCTAGACAACATCCAGATGGTAACTTGTCCCTGCTCTTTCGGTTCCGGTGCTTCAAAAGCGCATTCCTGCAGTTTGGCGCGGAGGGTCTGAAAGCAGGTGTTGGCGTGCTGCTTGGTGCAGCAAACGGATGACGCACGCGCATGTGAACTCGTGGCGTCGAGCTTGCGCCGTGGTACGTTGTTCGTTCCGGCGTTTCCCCACATGTGGCCGTGCACGTGCGCGATTGAGATGGTCAGGGACAAACAACCTTTGGGACTTGGAGAACCAAGAAGCTCTTGGAGATCGCTGTTACATTGTAAAGTCTCCGTTAGCATTTAGTGGTGAGATGGAGAATCACGACTGTGGAGTAGCTGCGGAAGTCCCGCTGTCATGTTTCGGGGCCGTAACCTCCGCTACATAGATAGCTTCCAGAGCATGCACGATTGAGGGTTCAGCATGCACATGCTGAAAGCCGTGCCATGTGCAGGCGGGCTAGGGTAGCTTGGGTGGTGCAATCATGGTTGGCAGGTGATGGTCGTACTGCCTGGTGTACAGCTACTCTGGACAGGAGCGTGGCAGCGGCACTGAGATGACAGCGAGACAGTAGGGCCGTTGGGCGATGCGTCCGTTCCCTGGGAGAGGAGAGTTGTTTTGATAATACCCTATTCGCCGCAAGAGGCAGATATGGACAGGGGCCGTGGGTCCTTGTCAACTAGACAACCTTAGTGCCTTGGTGGCTTTTGCGGGCGACCCTCATTGTGACTTTGACGAACGTCGACTATCGTGCACCTCCCCTTTGCCGCAACCCAGCGCCGTGCTTTTTGCGCAGCACCATTGCCTAAGCCTGAATCCTTCCGATAGCCGTTCGCTCGACTCATTACCGACCGCCGATCGCTTTCACCGCTGTAGCCGGGCCCATTCGACATGTCGGCATAGTCTCCCTCGGTGCCCAAGCTCGACGCTTGGAGACCATCTCGGCGCTCTTGAAAGAGGAAGACTTTTTGAAGCATCCCGTGACAGTAGAGCGTCCCTTGCCGGCGTCGTAATCACGAGCTGTGGAGCTGGCCATGGCGACGCAGCCGCGAACTGCAACTCGGACCATGGAGTCGACCAACGTGCCCGAACGGTCAGGGTCCAACATGTCGGAGGACTCTAGCGGCTCCTCAGGTACGAAAAAGCATTGGGGTGGCTGTCGCATTACGCGATGAGGTGTCATAGCTAACCCGGCGCTGCAGAAGACCGCGTACGCAAGTTCCAGAAGACAGGCGACCAGGGCAGCCGCCTGCGCAAGACGAGTGCATCTAATGCCATAAGCGCAGCCCGCCCGCTGCCTACCATCAACAACAACGCCGCAGGACGGGGCAGGGCCAAGGTGCCGTTGGGCCCCCGCGAGCGGCCCCAGGACTTCACCAAGCAGAGGTACGACGCCGCAGCCCAGGCGACGACAACACGGCAACGTGTGGACGACATGTCAGCTGACGCGTGATGCAGTAGAATGGCAAGCGGCGCCAGCGTCGCTTCCCTCGAGACGCGCTCCTTCCTGCCCACGCCCGCGAATGAGACGACAGCCACGCGCCCCGTCCCCTCGAACCCACGCTTCAGCTTCACCAAGCAGCCGCAGCCGGGGCCTGCAAAGGAAGAGCCGAATGAGAGCACCGGCTCGTACGACTTCCTGCCTGCCGTCAACTTCGACGACTTCGCCAACAGCCTCGCGTATGAGCCCGCTCTGAGCGACTTTCCCGCGCCTGGCACATTCAAGGCCAACGTGCCTGCCAACACCACCACACCCAATAACAACAACATGCCGACATTCACGGGAACGCCCACTGACAAACCTCCCACACGCAGCAGCGACTTCGTTCGCCGCTTCAGCCAGTCCACCGCGAGGAAGCCAAGTGGTACCTCTACCACATCGGGCTCTGACACGAACATGCCGGCGCCACAGAGCAACATGGCCATTCGTTCACGGCGCCAGAGTCAATTCCCCGCCCAGGCACCCCCAAACCCAGCTGCCCGAGCACCGCGGAAGAGCGTTGGCCCTGGAATGCTGCCTTCAAGTAGCTTTGAGCGCCAGGAAATGGACAGGCTCGCCAACGACAACGCAATGCCCCAGCTCGGCCGTGCGCCGTCACTGAACAAGGGAAACAGGCGAGAAACACTGTCTGCAAACATCAGCACAGCTCCTACCACCGGAGTACCCAGGCTCCCAACTGCCGCACGCAACGCCAAAGCAAAGTCCTTACAACCGCCTTCGAGACAGCAGCCGGGCCACCTGACTGTCTCCTCCATGACCCCCGATCCAAGTTCAATGCCCTCCCCTGGCAGGTCTCCCGCTGCGCAAAGATCG